CAACAAAAGGAAATCAAAGGCATCAAAATTGGCAAAGATGAAGTCAACCTTTCACTTTTTGCAGATGACATGATATTATACATGGAAAACCTGACAGACTCCACCAAAAGTCTACGAGAACTGATACATGAATTCAGCAAAGTCACAGGATACAAAATTAATGTACAGAAATCAGTTGCATTCTTATACACTAATAATGAAGCAACAGAAAGACAAATAAAGAAACTGATCCCATTCACAATCACACCAAGAAGCATAAAATACCTAGGAATACACCTAACCAAAGATGTAAAAGATTTGTATTCTGAAGACTATAGAAAGCTTATGAAGGAAATTGAAGAAGATACAAAGAAATGGGAAAACTTTCCATGCTCATGGATTGTAAGAATAAATATTGTTAAAATGTCAATATTACCCAAAGCCATCTACACATTCAATGCAATTCCAGTCAAAAGTGCACCAGAATTCTTCTTGAAGCTACAACAAGCAATCCTAAAATTTGTATGGAACGACAAAAGACCCCCAATAGCTGAAGTAATATTGAAGAAGACCAAAGCAGGAGCTGTAATCATCCAGACAGCATGGTATTGGCACAAAACCAGACACATAGACCAATGGAATAGAATAGAGACTCCACAATTGGACCCACAAAAGTATGGCCAACTAATTTTTGACAAAGCAGGAATGAATATCCAAAGGAAAAAAGACAGTCTCTTTAACAAATGGTGTTAGGAGAACTGGGCATCAACATGCAGAAGAATGAAACTAGAGCACTTTCTTACACCATTCACAAAAATAAACTCAAAATGGATGAAGGACCTGAATGTGAGACAGGAAACCATCAAAACTCTAGAGGAGAAAGCAGGAAAAAACCTCTGACCTCAGCCACAGCAATTTCTTACTTGACACATCTCCAAAGGCAATGGAATTAAAAGCAAAAATGAACTACTTGGACCTCATGAAGATAAAACCTTCTGTACTGCAAAGGAAACAATCAACAAAACTAAAAGCAATGGACGGAATGGGAAAAGATACTTGCAAATGACATATTGGGTAAAGAGTTAGTATCCAAAATCTGTAAAGAACTTACCAAACTCAACACCCGAAAAACAAATAATCCAGTGAAGAAATGGGCAGAAAACATGAATAGACATTTCTCTAAAGAAGACATCCGGATGGCCAACAGGCACATGAAAAGATGCTGAACGCCCCTCCTCATCAGGGAAATACAAATCAAAACCACACTCAGATATCACCTCATGCCAGAGTGGCCCAAATGAACAAATCAGGAGACTATAGATGCTGGAGAGGATGTGGAGAAACGGGAACCCTCTTGCACTGTTGGTGGGAATGCAAACTGGTGCAGCCGCTCTGGAAAGCAGTGTGGAGGTTCCTCAGAAAATTAAAAATAGACCTACCCTATGACCCAGCAATAGCACTGCTAGGAATGTACCCAAGGAATACAGGAGTGCTGATGCATAGGGGCACTTGTTCTCCAATGTTTACAGCAGCACTTTCAACAATAGCCTAATTATGGAAAGAACTTTAATGTCCATCAATTGATGAATGGATAAAGAAGTTGTCGTTTATATATACAATGGAATACTACTTGGCAATGAGAACGAATGAAATATGGCCTTTTGTAGCAACGTGGATGGAACTGGAGACTGTTAAGCTGAGTGAAATGAGTCATACAGAGAAAGACAGAAACCATATGTTTTCACTCTTATGTGGATCCTGAGAAACTTACCAGAAGACCATGTGGGAGGTGAAGGGGGAAGTATAGTTATGGAGCGGAAGGAGGCAAACCATGAGAAACTCTTAAAAACTGAAAATAAAGTGAGGGTTGATTTGGGGTGGGAAGGAGGGGAAAGTGGGTGATGGGCATTGAGGAGACTACCTGTTGGGATGAGCACTGGGTGTTGTATGGAAACCAATTTAACAGTAAATTTCATATTAAAAAAGTCACAACAGTTGTCACAGAAAGTCAGATAAACAAAATAAGACTGTTAAAATACTACTTACTCATTAGTTCAAAATACTAAAATGCACCAATAACAAATAATAATATAAACTCCTTAATTTTGATTGAAATATTTATATCAATCATGATTCAATTATATGATCAAGTTAACTGGGCTAATTATATGTAAAAACATATTTTATTGATTGTCTTTTTGTTGACTTATAATTAATATAGTGTTATATTAGTTTCAGGTGTGCAATATAATGATTAAAAAATTCTATAATTACTCAGTGTTCATCATGATAACTGTACCTCTTAATCCACTTTATTTATTTCATCCATCCCATTAATTACCTTTGAGTTTTTTTAATTTTAATGTATTTATTTATATATTTTTTAATGTGTACTTTTGAGAGAGAGAGACAGAGCACAACTATGGGAGGGGCAGAAAAAGAAAGAGACATAGAATCTGAAACACACCCCAGGCTCTGAGCTGTCAGCACAGAGTTCGATGCAGCACTCAAACCCCCTAATGGAGAGATCATGGCTTGAGCCGAAGTTCGACACGTAACTGACCGAGCCACCCAGGCACCCCGTTTGAATGTGTTTTTTTTTTTTAAATGAAAAAACCTGCTCAAAGACTAAATGGTGTGTTGATTACTGCATTTTATTTAGGGTTACATTAGTAATATATATAAATATTATGATCTCAAAATATGTCATTTTAGATAATGCAGTCTTTTCGAGGTTCAGTTTTGCCAACTTTACAAATATCATGAAAATTTTCTCAATGGCATTCTTACTAACAACATAGAAGGGAAACAAACGTTGCTTTAAATGAAGGATTACTTACTGCTCTTTTTCTAGAACACCCTGTAATCCAAGGCACAGTAAGGTTTCCTGAAATCTGTGGAAACAATAAATGGAATTTCAGTAAGGTATGCATTGACACTACTTGGAATGCTGATCAACACCAATGATTTCATACAAGATGTCAACATAGGTCTGCATTCAGAGCATATCCCCCACATAGACTTTGCCATTTCCTTACTGAACACAACAGAATTAAAGGGCTTTCATTTGTAAGAAAATTTTAGAAGCAGTGTAATTTCCCCTGGAAATTCAAGAAAATCCCTAGGCACTGTTGGGGCCTAGAAGTATGGTTTACAAGTCTGTGAACAAGAAAATTATTGTAATAAAAATGCAGTACTCTGTGGAATATATGTTATATTAATTAAATTATTAACTATAGTCATCATTCTATGTATTAGTTCTCTAGACTTATCCTACATAACTACAAGCTCCTTTTTAAGCAGAGACTACTAAGATGAATAGGCAGCAACACCTTATTACATCGATATTGGCACGCAAGGAGATAGGTACTACTCCAGTAGGATTCCAGGGACTGTTTACAGAGACCAAGGTGGACCTGTGGGCTATAGCACAGAGTAGCCTAGACGTCACCATACATTTTCCTGAAATACACAAGTTTTGGAGGATAACTCCAAATTCTCCACTTGCCTTCTCCTTCCCTCCCACATACCTCCTGAGACACTGACAAGTCAAATCAGGCTTGCCAAATGGTGACGATGAGAATATGGTATTCGAACATTTATTGTTTTTGATAAATTACATTCAGTGATGACTTGTGAATTAGTATTATGCTTACTGATAAGGAGTGATAATCAAACAGTTAATGCAAATAGTAAAGTAATATCCTTAATTATTCAAAATTTAGGTAAATTATTACTGTCCCTGGCCACTAAACATGAAATTTTATTTTGAGTTCAAAATATAACACTATGCTAGGGATAGGGTAACAAAATTAATGTTATAAACTCCAAATAATACTTTTAAGAAAAAAATTAAAAATAATTTTATTTTAGTCAAAACCCCATTACAGTAATATGGCACTTAAATACAATGTTTGAGGATCATGAAGTTTCAAATAATTGATTTTTAAAGGTAAACTGAGTGATAATGAAAATTTCGATGGAAAAAATTCTTCAAAACTTACACCTTCCTGTCCTCCCATTAATACTTGGAATATAATATAATGTTTACAAAGTAATTTGGCTGCTAGCCTTAATGAAAGAGGTAAGTCTACGAAAATAACCACATAATATACTTTTGAAAAAATAGAGATATCAAAACATTTTGGATTCTCTTTGCACATACTCCCACCTATTAGTGAGGATAATTTCAAACTGTCTATATAAAGTTGCTATAGAAAACATTTTAAACCAAATGAACTAGAAAAAACAAAAAACAAAAAAAAAAAAAACAAAAAACAAAACAAAAAAACAAACCCAGGTGGCTCCTGGGTGGCTCAGTTGGTTAAGCATCCAATTTGTGATTTTGTCTCAGGTCATGATCTCATGGTCTTGAGATTGAGCCCCACATTGGGTGTGTGCTGGGTGTGCTACTTGCTTAAAATTCTCTCTCTCCCTCTGCTCCTCTCCCCCACTTGTGCTCTCTCTCTCAAAATAAATTTAAAAATATATATATATAAACCAGTAAGTATTAAAAAGTTACATATGAAATAAAAAAAATGCATATAATATACATGATAAATGAATGGGAATTATACATTTTAAGAATACAAAATGTGGTTTTCTGCTTAGGTCAAGTGTATGTAACCAAGAAAATAGAAAACTACTATAAACACATTAACATACAAATATCAATTCCACGTGAGTTGGGAAGAGATGAAGTTTCACTTTTTTGCTTTATAATTCTGGGGCACCAGTTACCTAATATTCAAATGCTATATTAACTACCTTCTTTTGTTTATTTCAATTTTTTTCAGTTCTTTATGTTTCTGGTAAAACTCGGGAACAGCTAAGTATAGCAGCTGAATTTGTATGCTTTTTTGAAGAATAATACGGTATAAACATATTTCTCTCAAAGTTGGGAAGTTTTGTTTGGTCAGTAGTGATGACAAGGTTTTTCCCTCACCATTCTGGCTACAAAAATAGTATTTCAAATGAGCAGGGTAATATAGTAATCATTTAAATGATATGTAAATTCCAAACACATTTTTCAATACCCTGGTTTGGAAAAATATAAAAGTAATTGACAAGGAGACAAGACCAACTTAACAAATATATTTGAACTTATACAAATGAGTACTATATGTTTCAAAGTAGAAAACAGGAAGTTATACAGTCATTACAATGATGTTGCCATTGTTGAAAACATTTTGGGAACTTTTCTTGGCAGTTCATGACACCCAGAGACTCTGTGTCATTATTTCATATTCTGTTTATTTTAACTGAAAATATAATAACCCAAATTGAACATCAATATTATTCACTAAATGTGGCTCAGAATAAATTCTAACTATTTTCCAAAGTTAAATTTTACCTCAAATAATGGAGATTTGTCACCAATGAAAGTATTTTTAAAAATCTCACAGGGGGCACCTAGGTGGCTCAGTCAGTAAAGTGTGGACTTTGGCTCAGGTCATGATCTCAGCGTTAGTGGGTTCGAGCACCGCATCTGGCTCTGTGCTGACAGTTCAGAGCCTGGAGCCTGCATGGGATTCTGTCTCTCCCTCTCTCTGCCCCTCCCCCACTCATGCTCTGTCTCTGTCTCTGTCTCTCTCAAAAATAAATAAACATTAAATTTTTTTCCAAAAAAATTCTCACAGGCCCTTAAAGCAATTGTAAAAGAATTTCAAAACTTTTTTGACAAATTAAACATGATTGAAATAAGTATAGGTAACTTTCCAAAATCATGAATTTGAACTTAATTTCTATACTACGTTGCTGTTTTAGGTACTTAGGAAATAAAAAAGATGGGTAAAACATAATTTCCTAGAGGGCAAGAATGTGAGAGGGAAGATGAGGAAGATACATGAATGACTTTAATATAAAGAATACTATAAGTGTCATGAGAAGTATAATAAATGAAATGCAATAGAAGGTAAGGTATGGTGAAATTACATCAAATTTGAGGACTTATATCTCAGCTGAACCTTAAAAAATGAATAGAATTTTTATAGAAATAAAAAAGAGCATTCCAGAGAAAAATAATGGCATGAGCACAGTGGAATAAAAGGATAAGATGTGTTGGAGCGCCTGGGGGGCTCAGTCGGTTGAGCGTCGGACTTTAGCACAGGTCATGATCCTGAGGTCTGTGAGTTTGAGCCCCGCATTGGGCTCTGTAATGTCAGCTCAGAGCCTGGCGCCTGCTTCGGATTCTGTGTCTCCCTCTGTCTCTGCCCCTCCCCCGCTCATGCTCTGTCTCTCTTCTGTCTCTGTCAAAAATAAATAAACATTAAAAAAAATTTTAAAAAAGGATAGGATGTGTTTGGGAATGGTCAATTCAATTAGAATTAAAAATGGAATTGGGGTTACTTTGTGCAAGCCATGAATACCAAAGTACATTTACATCTAATTCTATGGAAAAAGAGGAGCCATTCAAAGTTTTAAGCAAATGAGTTATATGGTCAGAATGCATTTTTATACATTAAGATGATTAATTTGACTCAATGTGTTCACTAAATTGAATCAGTATGGAAACTTATAATAGTTTAGGCAAAAGGCAATCCAGACTTGGAACAAAGTTAGGGAGTAGTAATTTAGAGAGAAATATAAAATACACTTCTAAATACAGGTCTTGTGCAGGAGATTAAAGAGGACTAGACAGTCTGGAAATTACTGGAATAGTTTTTTTTATGGCCATCATAAGACTGCCTCTCCAAATGTCTGGTCTGCTCAAACAAATAGAGAGTTGGAGAGTCACAATTTTGAATGTGAATGCAAGGAAGTGCTAATATTGGAAATCTCACAGAAAAATGTGGACACACTAAGGGCGCCTGGGTGGCTCAGTCAGTTAAGCATCCAACTCTTGATTTTGGCTCAGGTCATGATCTCACAGTTCATGAGATCAAGCCCTGCATTGGGTTCTATGCTGACAGCACAGAGCCTGCTTAGGATTCTCTCTCTCTTCCTCTCTCTTTGCCTCTCCCCATGCTGGCACTCTCTCTCTCTCTCTCTCTTTCTCTCTGTCTCTCAAGATAAACACTAAAAAAATAATAAAATAAAATAAAAGTAGATACACTAAAGGAAGTAATACAAACTTATATGGATGTAAACTGTAGTCACATCATATGGATAGGTAAGGTTTGTGAATCCATCTATAAAACACTTAACTTTCTCATGGAAAGTTATATTTAAAATAAGTAATATATATCAGAATGTTAATTATACATTATACATAATTACTTTTATAGATTATTTAAAGGATTTTAAAGGAACTTTTACTACATTTCATTTTCATGATTTAGATCTTACATATGACTCTGCTATATTTCTGCTAGACTATGAGATTATTAAGGGCAAGGTATCATGTTTAAAACAATTTAGTCTATTTGTATATAGTCACACAAAGAATATACACAAAAAAGCATTCATTCCGATTTCAGAAATATTTCTGTTAAAAGACAATTCTCCACATATGCGGGACATTCTACTTAATTCGATTAACTGAAACAACCAGACAATAACCATGTCTATCAGAAAAGTTTAGCAGCAACAGATTCATAATAAACTTATATTTTTGCTTTCCATCAGCTGTTTTGATATCAGTTGAACAATAAAAGATATCAATCATTCTGCTTTAATCAGCAGAGCTTCCTAGATCTTTTAAAGTTATAAGGTATAGAACATAGAAGACACTGCTGGGCAATCAATAATTGCAATCAATAATAGGCAATCAATAAATATATGCTGATTGATTGGTTGATTGAATTAACGTGCACTTTATACACTAGCTTCACTTGCTGAAATTCAACAAAAGGCCAAGAGTGGAAATGTACAAGAGACCATTACATGGGGGTAGGCAGTTGGAGGAGGGAATAACTAGCTGCTGGTAGAGAACAATGTGTTCTGGAGCAAAGAA